GGGTACTTTCCCGGGAACTCCCGCAGCTCGCTCGATTGGTCTCAGTGATTAATAGCTGTAGTCCCAACGGCAGTGTTGGTGGTGGTACTAGCGGGAGGAGGAGTAGGGTGTGGGAGCTGTCGATCGCAATAACAGACCCCCTATCGAAAGCCAAAAGCCTCAACCCACGGATCCGACTTTTGCCTCCGCCCATGCCGGCGAGGGCGCCGCCACCTAGGCCGCCTAGAGCACTCACGAGGAGCTGCATCACCTCTGCGATTCGACTTCCAAGGGACAGGGGAGGGGGGGGAGCTTTTTATGATTTATCTCGCTCACGACCCATTGAAACCAGAAAGAGGGCTGCCCAGCTGCTCGGAGGACGGGAAGGAGTCTTGGATTTTTCATAGTATAAAGCATACGTAAGGGCAAACCAAGCAGAGTTTTGAGTTTTTTCCCGTATCTTCAGGGTTATCAGATATTGAGGTCCTACAGCCTGATCTTTGGGATGAACGGCAGCAAACCCAGGCTCGTGAGGCACTTCTGCGGGTATCTGAAACGGGTTTCTGGTTCGGGATTTAGAGTGTACCAGGGCCCTACTACCAGGACCCTGCATAACTCGTTTCGTTCAGGGCTATGGCCATCGTGTTCAGTGGTCATGTGCTACGTAGGTGTGCTGAGGAAGGTAAGTAGGTTCCAGGTACGGTTTCCAAGAGATTTTCTTAGGGTCAACTAGGATCAGCTTTTTCGGCTTGGGGCTTGCAAGGGTGTGGATTTTTGGGGGTTTAGGCTTTCGGGTCCAGGGGTAAGAGACCGGTCACATCATAGACATTCTGAACATCCACTTATGCACACCGAAAGCCGCTCCGTCGAGAAGCTTCGGTTTCCCATCAACCAAGGCCAGGGTAGTTTTTCCCAGAACCCAACAGCGATGATCGAAAGAAAAAGCTGCATCCCTTGGAAGAGCCACTCCCCGAAGCTGCCCAGGCGCATCCATCATGCCACCTTTCCCGCCAGCGGCGGCGCCGCCCATCATTGCGCCCTTGCCAGCCATACCGCCGCCCATAGCGCCGCCCATGCCTGCTGTAGGCGAGTGGTGGGCTGCAGGGTTCCTAGCCCCTTCAGTTCTATGCCGAGCTCAAAGTAAGGACATGTGGCTGCAAGCGAAAGCTCAGTGGCACAGCAACAACACTTGCATGAGCCTGCAGGTAGAGAATGGTGGTTGGCAGTTTTGGCTTTGGGCTTGGAGTCCTAAACCGTTCAGGGCATCTGAAGCCGTCTGAGCACGCAAATATGCAGGGTGCAGGGTTTAGGGCATCCAGTCTGCGCTTGGGCTCCGGCGCTACTCGACGCGAGAAAGCAAAACAAACTCGGCAATTTTGGAATATAGACTCGTGAATACCATACCGAATTCGCACTGCCCCACACCTTACACTAAGCTCACGACTTTGCAGCCTCCAGAACTAAACTCTCCTGGACAACTCGCAGCAACTCGCGCCTTTCAGCATTCCCTTGCCGCCGCTCTTGGGTGCTGCGAATTGGACGGTCACCTGGCACGAGGTTGCGCGGCTCGTCAATCTGGGGCATTTAAGGCCATTTACGCACCCTTTACGGGAACCCTAAACCTTAAACCCTAAAACCATCTAAAGCCCCAAACCCTAAATACCGTGTCTTAGGCCGTGGTGCTGAAAGGTACCTGCAACCGAGGCCGAGGCTAAGTCCCAACTCGAAACTCTGAACTTACGCCACAGAGACAGAAAGCTGACCACCGTCAGCCTTGATCCGAAGCCGTTGAACACGAGAACCTACTAGTAACGCTCTTACAAAACGCTGTAAACGTCTTTTAAGAGCTCCCTTGAAGCCCTGAAGTGTCATCCCAACTCGCAGAGATGAAGGCTCCACCAAGAAGAAGTCCTGCGTGTAAAGGCCCCTGAACACACGAGAAGGCCCACCGCTCAGCCCTGACATCGCAAAGTCTGGGGTTGTATCAAGCGGCACAAGAGAAGTAATGGAGATACTCCCAAGCAATATGAAGAAACCAAAAACACAAGACTCAAAGACGGCCCCTTACGTACAAGAAAAAGTCACCCTAAAGCATAACTGCTGCAAGTGCGGATAACCCCTACTCATCCCTGAACTCCCAAAGCTTCAAGCCCGCAGATGTCACAAAACAGATATATACATATATATATATATATATATATTATATATATATATATTTATATATATATATATATAACAAATCAATACAAATCCCAAAGCTCCAACTTTTCCCAAGTCACGGGAGAGACGAGGCTCTGAGGCACGTTGCCATTCCTGGGCCCAAGGCTTCGGAGGTCATGTTGTCTTTAGGTGTTTAGGGGCCGTTTCAGGCTTGCGGCTTAGGGTCCAGGGCGTGGGCGGTTATGGGGGGGTTTGGGGACAGCTAGCTGGGTGGTTGTCAAAATTATGGTCCCTTTTTGGATCCCTATTATAATCCGGCACCTATTATTTAGGGTACCCCAAATGGGACCATCATTTTGACAACTACCCAGCTGGCCGTCATATGCCAGCGCCGCCAGGGCCAGCCCCCGGTTTTCAGCCCAGCTGCACATGCTCCACGATCCACTTCGCGTCATCAACACTGGTCATCGTGACCTAGGAGGTGGGAAGACTTCGGGTTAAAGCTTCAGGAAAAACTGCTAAAAAGCTGCACATCAGCCTCCAAGAAAATATCTGACCCTCTGCGCATATACCCACTAGACGCCAGCATGTACCCCTTTTGGGCCTCTGCCGGGGTGTAGCCTTTTGCAACTACGGTTGGCATGCATGTGTTTCGGTACGAAGGAGCCAATATCCAACGCAGAACACCTTCCAAGCGCTTCACAGCAAGTAGACATGGATCCGGTTCGAGAGCGGAATCAAAAAAACGTTACTGCCATCAGGATTTTTGTTGATATGGCATTCTCACAACATTGCAGCTTGGATTTAGCGCGTCAGCAAGAACTCCTCAGAAGTGCAGACTGCGATTAAGGAATCCCCCCTCCTAGCGCTCCGTTTCTGTGCTGTTTAGGGTTTCGGCTGTACCTGCGTCCTCCTCTGGGTGTATAACGTTGTTTGCTAGTAAAGGTTGCTGAACTTCGCGCGATTGTGTAACATGGTTGTGTAAAGGATCAGAGGATACCCTGGTAGGTGTCGGAAGGACTTTCCTTCGGTAGGCTAACAAGCACATTAATTTGAGGTCCTAAGCAACCTGTAGCTATCGCTGCAGTTCTTGAACATTCACCTGCATGCTCTTTTGGGAGTTTCCGAAAATAGGGGACCCTAATATAGCACCCTAAAAAAAAAGGATCCTTAATATATAAGGACCCCAAAATAAGGTACCCCCTATTTTTGAAACCCCCCATATCTGCTCTTGAGCCTTTAAAGGCTGTATCAAAGTGCTGTGCTGCCTCGGGACGATGGCAGCTGCAGCCTCCTTGCCTGCGAGCACTGGTAGCACGTTCACGTCCTTCACCTCAAACGGGCGAGGCTCGTGCGGCGTAGTGTTGTGCATTGTGCCAATGATTGGGTTTAGGGTTTAGGGTTTAGGGCTATTGGGGGCTTTGTCTGTAGAGCAAACTTCAGCCCAATCCCAGTCTAAACACGCTGGTAAATGTGTGCGAAGGGCAGACGGGTCTCTCGTTCAGAAAACCTCAATTTTAGCCTCTGTCACCGGTGAACTCTTCCATGCATTTCTCAAAATTTGCTCGCCTGATATCTTCCTTCCTGAAGCGCACCATTCATGTTAGTTGCATAGTAACCCTAGGTCCAAGATGATGCCAGCCTTGTATGTAAAGTTTTCAGGCGGGTCGCCGTGCCATACTGACCAAAAATGGATCTGGCGAAGTCGTTCGTGCAATCTTTCGGGAGGCCGGTGATGAAGAGAGCTTCACTTGGCGGATTTTGCCTCGGTCGAAGCAGGCTTCTTAAGGGCCTTGAGATCTCTGCCAGAGGGGAGTGGCTGGTGGTGGTGGCGACAGTAGTCGTAGTCGTTGTGGTGGTAGGTGGTGGTTGTTGATCTAAAGAAAGGCTTCGATTGCCAGTTTAGGGTTTCAGGGCTCAGGTAGACATGGAGGAACTGAGGCTGCTCGCAGCAAGGGCGGTCAGAGTGGGTTGCTCGGGTCCGGATGTCTTTGTCACGTTACATGCAAGGCAACTCGAGATACCTTGCACCCTGTTCCTAACTGCTCATGTACCTCCAAGCAGAAACGCCGCCATTCATGTCTTGTCGCAAGGTTTCCCACGACTTGCAGACAAGGAGCATCATGGCACGTACACTAACTATCAAGGCCCCCCAAACGTGCACAGATGCTTAAGCCAAACCTGCGGCAAGGTCCGTTTGTGTGAGGGGTTTGTTTAGGGCTCGGGGACATGGCTGCTAGCAGATTTCGCGCCCATGCCGTGTAGAGAAAACAGATTTTGTTGACTTTTCAGTGTAAACAGAAAAGAACCAGCAGACTCATGGATGCAACCTGCATCGAGCCCGCGCGCTAGAAGTCTGATTGAGCCATAAACGTCAAACACCTCAAGCTACTTTGTTGGTTACTCCAGTCGCCCTTGAACCAAACTAGCTGGGATACGGCAATGAGAGTAGTGAGTAGTGCTCTGGGGTACCCTTCTGCTACAGCCATATCTGCATCTTGCAAAAGGACTGAGCTTGCAGGCAACACTACGAACTGTTTCGGCACATGACTGGCCCCAAACCCTTCTCTTCACGTAGCCGCTTCGCACATCACTGGTCCAAAGGAGGGACCTATTCTCGAGCAGCAACCACATCACACTCCACAACGGAGGCCCTCAGCCAAGTTTGCTCCTACTGCTGAAGCTACTATCGGCTACATCGTCATGATGACCAGCCCTACGTACCAATGCTGAAGCTGCTGTCGCCGCTACCTTACCCATCGAAGCCTTTACTCTTCCAGGAGCTGTGCTTCTGCTTCTTCTGGTTCTACGTGCAACTTAGAGTTCTACTACCAAAACAACAACATCTACTACCCCGGCGACTACTCCGACTCCTCCTGCGGACGTTGAAGCCAACTAACATACCCTACTGCAAGACTCAGAGACGATGGAACGCCAGGCAGGTCCTCCCCGGCACGGCGCCGGAGGTCGGTACAAACCCGGAAGCGGAGGTCTACAAAGTTGGGCTCCTGCCAGGGGACCTGGCAAGGAAGGCTCTGGGACTGAACCTCGGGATTTTAGTTTCTTCTTCTGCTGAAAGATTGTAAGTTTCACCAACACAGATAGATAGACAAATCGATCGATCCATGGATAGGTGGATCTCTGGATGGATGCAAAGGTAGATAGATAGATGGATAGATAGATTATATTGATACACAGATAGACAGACAGAGGAGTTTATCTTGCAGAACTTGGGGGGGGATTGACTTCAACAACTCAAACAGGAGTAAGAAGTCTACGGCTTAGAATCCTCTCAGTTGGGCCGTCAGGTGTCTGGCATTGAGCCGTCATCGGAGTGCAGGGCGGTGCCGATTCCAAAGCCATGAAGCATAACAACAATCGTCACAACGGTCTTGGAAGATTAGTGCTTCAAGCTTCGGCCTCAGGGTCTCAGGAATGCCTTCAAGTTCAATATTGTGTCGTGTTCTTGGATTTCGTATTCAGCGGCTGAAAGCTATCCAATTGAAGTTATTGGCTTTGGGATGGTTTGTGGTTTTCGGGGCTCGGCCTAGACCCTCAGGCGGTCCAAGTGCAACGCAAAGATTTAGCAAGTCTACCCCGAAGCCGGATTTTCACAACGTTCAGAAGGCCAGTGGAATCTTGGTACGACAGGCCGCCAGCCCCAGTAAAGCATGACCATCCAAGCTCCGCCTCCCAATCCCAGAATTCTGTCAGGGGGAGTGGGAATCGGGAGCCCAGAACACTTCGAGCTCAAAGGCACCTGGAGGTCCATGAACGAGTGCAAGGGTTTCTGGAGGCCAGCCTGACATTGCAGAGGTGTTTTGGTCTCTTGCGTGAAGGTCAGGCCGTACGACTCCGGTGCTCAAGAAACTGCTGAGAGATCGTATCTTGCCAAGGTCAGAGGTAGCTGCATTCCGGCACGCAGCTGAAAGCTAGGTGAATCACCTGGTTGAACACAAGTCCATCGCACTAACCAGCTTCGATGCCGCCACCACCACCACAGGTGCCGCCTTGATGATCTGGGCGTTCAGCAGACGCTCAAGCGCAGCATGGCCAGCAGCCTGCACTCGAGAAACTGAGAAGCATCGTTAACAGTAACATGCTCTTTGTGCCCAGACACACAATCATAAACACCGACAGCCTGCCTATCTTGTCCCGGGACAACATGAGGGGGCTTAAGCATCAGCGCAGGGTTTGGGGTATGCTTTAGTATACCTATATGTACGCAGGATATTGGATACCACTACATACAATTACGTCCTATCTATTAAGACCTTCACAGTGTACGTGTACGTGTACGTGTACGTGTACGTTATGTACGTTATGTACGTTATGTATGTATGTATGTATGTATGTATGTATGTATGTACGTACGTATGTATGTATGTATGTATGTGTGTATATACATATATCATATATATATATATATACACACACACACTGATTGATCGATCGATCGATCGATGGATTGATTGATTGATTGATTGATTGATTGATTGATTGATAGCTCGACATACCAAGAGCCGACCACAAGCTCTGAACTGGAACGGGCGCTTGTTGCTGAAGGATTCTTGCACAGCGTCAGCTGTAGGTTTCGGAGGCTTCAGTATTCATACGCAGATAGCCGCGGATTTCAGGCCGTTCTTCGCTTGGAGTGTGCTTGAGGCTGCAACTTGGCTTCTCGATTCTTTGCCCTCCGTCTCGACCCTGAGGCCCGGATCTCAGGAAAACCGTCTCGAATCTGATTTGCCGTGAGCTGAGGATTATCACCAGAGGTGCTTCGAACTTTTCATGGCGGTTTAGCGGCATAAACTTCGGACCCACCACCACCACAACGACGACCAGCACCACGACGACCACCACCACGATGACGATCACCACTGCGACGATCACCACGACGACGACCACAACCTCGACGACGACCACGACCTCGGTGACGATGACGACGACTACCATTACCAGTTCTGCTCCTACTCCAAATGCTACTATCATCCCGCAAGACTAAGCCATTCTGTAGCACCTCGTCCCCCTTCAGTAGGGGCGCAATGGCATCGAGCACTTCCTGACGAATGCTTTAGTTTTGGGGTCTGGAGTAGTGCTTGCGGCTCCGGCGCAGGTCTGGTCCCGAAACCGAATTCTCAGCCAAGTTCCACCATTCTGGTTTCTGCTTATTGAAAGTACCCGTACCAGGAGCCATCCTTGCTGCAGAAGACTTCGACGCGCCATGAAAACCACAGTTCTATATCGTTTTTTGTCTGTGTCTGAACTCTGATACCCTTGCTTAAAAGCTCTCTCGAAACCTCAACAAAACCCACAGGAAAGCTGACTAAGCACTCTAAGGCCCTACCCCTTCAAAAGAAGCCCTGCGACACACATGAACCCGTGCAGCTCGGAGCCCACAGCCCTGGGACGTCTCCTGCTGGAGCTTCAAGAACGTCTCTGCCGAGACTCCGAGGCTCTCGAGAGCCTGCTCTCTGACCCTACTTGGAGGATCATGGG